ATTAAGCACGACAAGATCACATATACAGTTGATAAACCTCACCCACCCAAACCAGCCCAAGAGGCTAAATTCAGAAACTCTATTCACCATTCCGCCAAGGTGGACAAAGACCTGCACGTTACTTAAGCAACAAATAAAGCGTATCATGGAAAAGAACCAAATAATCAACTTAAGTAGGAGAAGGTGCTATTACTACTTTCTTCTTCTTTCAAAGAAAAATTACAGTTTCTTCTGTATCCAGGAGAATTCAACGTCGACGATGATAATTTCGAAGTAAAACCTGCAGAGCACTGTCTATATTAAGATAGTTACGCCTGATCTTTACTTGTGTGTTAAGCATCTCATCCAAGAAAATGGCCTTAAAAGTAAAATAGTGACATCATAACCCATAAACACAAGAAAAGTTGGTGAAGATGTTCATATAAATCTTCTAAATTTTTGTAGCAAATTTAAATCAACACTTGAATTGCATATGAAATCATTAACCATTGGCACACACGTGAGCATGAAAGCTGGCATAGATGATACATTATATATTCCAACACCTGCAAATAAGAAGTCGAACAATATGTTCCTATAAGGTCTTNACAGTAACTTGAGATCACTAAGGTGAAAAGAAAACAATGAAGATCAAATACCTTAGGATCACATTCCTTCTCCATGATACTATATAGAGCATCCCATGTAGGAAACTGAAATAGATAAGTGATATCATGCCAACCTTCCAGCTTTTCCACCAGTAATCCTTTGTTCAACAATATCGTAAGCTTTAGCAAAAGAATGCTCAGTATAACTAGTGAGAAGAACATTTTGGTCTCTTCTATTGTTGAAGACAGGATAACTAGTAAGCCTCTGAAAGTTATTGAGGCTCTTTCAAATTGCTTCAACATGCTTTCTAACAAATAATGGCATGCTTTTAAGCAGACCAAACTGCTCCCTATACCTTCGTGAGAATTGAAAACGAAAATCCAATTGACTGAAAGAAACGTCCATATAAAGAGATACACTTTAAGCTAGTTCATTGCACATTCAGCAACACTTTAAGCAAGTTCATTGCAGGTTCAACAACATTCAAAACCACCTCTTATACACCTACTCGGAAAATGATAAAAGTATCCCAAAATTACACGACCTTGCTTTTGAAAAGCTACATACACAGAACATGGTGACACTACTAACAGAACAATGCCGCATCGACAGGGGGAATTCACCATCTGTCAAGATTAACAATGAAAATTTTGTTATAAGCTATATAAATATAGTAAAGGAGTGAACTATTTCGATAGAGAAAATCTGATAAGAAAAAACAATATCAGTCATTCTCTTAAGAGGAGTTGACTAACCTTGTAATATAAGAGCCATGCATAAAAATGACACAACAGAGAACATCTCATAAAGATGTCATGCAGTGGTCCTTTCTCACTGTCCTCCAGAGTAATGCTAAGAAGTAGATTTCCATGTCATGAAGCAATGCATCTCTTAATACCAGAGGTATGAAAATACAAAGAAATAGAAAAATATATCAGCGGAGAAATGAGTTCAGGAAAAGGCTAGCAAAAAGTAAAGATCCTCCACCTCGCTAGAATTCGAGCAAAGTCTTGCTAGAACCTCCACAGAGCATTCAAAGAATCCAAAATTTATTTCTTGGTCTACATCATCCATCTGGAAAAGAAACAAAAACAGTGAATTCTAGAACTCAAGCAGCAAACGTAGGATACCAAAAGGCTAATGACCACCTGATTTCTAGAAAAAAAAGGTAACATAATTATTCTAACATCAAGTTGAGTCGAATGTAACTTGACATCAAAAGAAAACTCTTATATGTAGACATGCCATTAATGCTCTGTAAATCCTACAAACAATCATTTGTTAGGATGAAATAATAAATACCCTCAACTTCTCCACGGTGTGAAAGCTATAACCTATCATATGCACGTTTTTGTGAATGTTATAACCTATCAGATGCACACAAAGGAGTAAAGGAAGGTAGAACACCTCACTTCTAGGAACAAATGATTATGATATGTCCATAGTAGTATCTGGAAGACTGAAACGTAAGGATATATATACAAAGGTCATTCACAATTCATTGTCAAGAAGTGACTGAAGCGTAAGGATATAGCAAAAAGCCTCCTCCTTCTAGCTATGTTTAACACTATTTTTATCGCAAAACCCAGCTTCTACCCTCACAATGTATAACAGCACCAAATCTTGATGATGCATCAAAATTTCCAAAGGAAAATTAACTACATGCCATTAGAAATCTCGTCCAAGTTAAAGCAAAGTTGTGTTTTGCGAAAAAATCTACAGAAAGTAATTGACCTTTGAGAGCCACCCGGATATACAGATTATGTAAGAAATTCATTAACATTAGCATCCTTGAAATGGGAAATAGCAACAGATGAAGCTAGTTGCATAAAAATCAGTCAGGAATAGATACAGATTCAACCTTGTAGTCAATACTAGGGGTGGGTTTTCTTGTCCATTCCATGGGTTACTTCTGGGTGTTAGAAACACTATGGTCCGACACTGAAAACCAACCAGATTCAAAAGAATTATGCAATAATCTTTTGAAGTGGCAGTATGATCAATCAATCAAGAAAGTGAAGAAAAAATCCTATAAGCAAACATCAAAGAAGCAGCCGTTATGGTAGCGAGACCTAATGTCAACACAATTTAATAGGTGAATTCAAGAAAATAAGAATCTCGACCAAACCGCATCGTTTGTGACAAACAACAAAGAAATCAACGAAAAGCGATACACAAATTCACCAGAACTAAGCCATTTCTCGTCTACGACCCAAATGATAGAAGAGGGTTGTAACGCCCGTGAACCAAATTCAATGAATTTTGGTCGTGTGTCGATCGACACAAGTTTTAATTAAACCGACCATTTTGGTTCAATTGTTGGTTTGGCTGGTTTGGGTTAAGGAAACCNTAGGGCATGATATAAAAACGCATGGAGACGTTTTTGCAGCCGATTTTGGAGAGGAAAATGAGAGGATTTCGTAGGTTGTGAGAGAGAAGAAGAGATTGTTGCTTTGGAGACAGTTCTGGCCCGTTTTAGAAGAATAGAGGAACGGACAGTCTACTTAGATCGGATTGGAGTGAAAATTCTAGGGTAAGTTCTCCACTCTCATATCTAGCTTCAGGCGAAATATTTTTTTCAATTAGATTAGTATTCCGAGAGTTATCGTTCTTTTTATAAGAGATGTTTCTGCAGTTTTGGGGCTGCAATCAGTCCATTTCGAGGGAGGATTCCCGTCGAACCAGAAGGACTTAGGAGACGATCCGCCTATCTTTGGAAATCTCTCTCTGTCTAGTTTCTATATCAGGTTTCCAATCTTGTTTCTGAGGTAATGACCATTGTCAGTGTGCTTTTGAAGTCAGCGTATCGTTCATGTTTTCTGAAACCCTAATTCGGTTTAGGTGATTTTTTGGAGAAAGGATCGTACATTGGTTAATTTTGGGTTGGGAGAGTGAAATCAGAGGCTGGGCGATTTAGAGTTGTGTTTTCTTTGTGTTCATCCTCTTTTTCAATCCAGAATCG